GCCCGGAAGTGAAGTCTCCGCGCTCGTGTGTCGCGCCGGATGAGGCGGGGTTCGGGCGGTTGGCTCCCGCGGCCGCGCTTCCCGGTGGCGAGGGCGCCATGGCGCTGCCCTGGGTGCAGCGCGTCGAGCTCGTGCTGTTCGCCGCCGCCTTCCTGTGCGGGGCCGTGGCGGCCGCGGCGCTGACGCGGACCCAGGTGCGGCGGCGGGACGGGGCCGGCAGTGGGGGCGGGGCGAGCGGGGGGCGGGCCGACCCTGACACCGAGGGACCACTGCTCTGCGGGCCGGGCCTCCCCGAGCCCGGCGAGCGCCCGTCTGCGGCGGAGGTGCATCGGCGCTAATCGCGTTCCATGGCTCCGTCCGCCCAGGTCATACTTCAGTCATTACCTCGCCAAAGGGACAAGTCTTCTGGAGTGTCTTACAGCACCAGACAAAGCCCGGCCTGGTGGCTCCTGCTGCATAACCTTACCTCGGTTCTGAAACGGAGGTCGGTCCAGGCCCTGCCTTCATCCTGAAACCAGACACTATCGTGCTGAGCTACGTCAAGAAATAAAGCTTAGTGTAGTGGAGGTGATTAAGCTACCACCTGATTGCAACAGTGTTTCAAGTGACAAAACAGCGACTATGTAAACCAGAAGCCAGTAGTTTACATTGAGTGTTTACCCCGCCAGGCAATCTTGTTAGTGAACATGGCCTCATTTGATCCCTATAAAGTAGGCACGACTTTACGGATTAGAAAGCATCGGAGATAGCTTTAGGTTACATAAATTCTGGTTTTACTCTAGGATTTCCGCAGAGGGGAGACCAGAACTTGTGAGGCCTCTCCAAAGCTCAGTGTGTTTTATAACCACCGTCTATTTCCTGATCCTTCTGGCCACTGCAGGTTCGATTTGCCCAGCAGGCCCTCTCCTGGCCCAGGAACAGGAACTGAGTGCACAAACTACTCTAGTGTGGCCCTGGGCTAGGTTATCCCTAACACCTGCCATGAGCCTGCATCCGGAGGCACGAACCTGAAATCTAGGACTCAGCAGCTTCTCTCCACAGGGCTCCTTCAGTGGCAGCTGTCCCCTGTATGGTGTGGCCGCCCTGAATCGTTCCTCCCTGGCCTTATCCCGACCCTCAGCCCCTTCCCTCTGCTACTTTGTGGCTGGGGTCTCTGGCCTTCTGGCCCTCTACTGCCTCCTGCTTCTGCTCTTCTGGGTCTACAGCAGCTGCATCGAGGACTCCCACAGGTGACTGCACTGCTCTGAGGGCCAGGGGCTGAGGTGGGAGGAGTCCCACCTCAACTACAGGCTTGTTCTCTCCTCATAGAGGCCGGATGGGGCTCCGCATCGCACTGGCCATCTCCACTATAGCCATCTTCCTGGTCTTAGTGTCTGCCTGTGTCCTTCGATTTGGCACCAGTTCTCTCTGCAACTCCATTGTCTCCCTGAACACTACAACTAGGTAATGGGAAAGGGGGGAAGCCTGGCTGGGGCTGCCTGCCTTCCCTTAGCAGAGATCCTGTGACCCCGCCCCCCCCTTTTTACCCTCATCAGTTATCTCGAAGGGCACCTAGGCACAGGAGTGTTTGTGGTATATCCCCGGTCTCACAACTGTCTTTTGAACTCGCAGCTGCTCTGAAGCTCAGAAAATTCCGTGGACATCTTGGTTGCAGTTCTATTCCAACCTACACAATGCTGAAGTGAGGTCCTGGGATACAGATTCCTAGAAACATCTGTAGTTCTAAAGGTTCCCACCAGGGAGTGGTTGAGGGGAGCTGAAGGGCTTGTCAGCCTGACAGCAAACAGATAAGTGGTGTGTGGGTGGAATTGGATTGAGGTGGCCTCACTCCTGACACCTGTCCCTGTCTCCCACAGAACTCTTCTTGGGTGAATCTGGTACTGTGGTGTGTGGTCCTGGTGCTCCAGGTCATGCAGTGGAAGTCTGAAGCCACCCCATACCGGCCTCTGGAGAGGGGGGACCCCGAGTGGAGCTCTGAGACAGATGCTCTCGTGGGGCCACACCTTTCCCATTCCTGAAGAGAACCCAGAGTGCCTTCTGCAGCCAAAGACTCCGTGCCCAAGTGCCCGCACTCCTCTTCCCCGCTCGGCCCCCTTTTTGCCGGGAGCCTCAGTTTTCCCTCCAGGAAGGAAACATGACGACAGGCCTCCTCCACTTCTCTTCCTACAGCTGTTTTTATACCAAAATATATTACTTTCTTCTTTCATCTTGGCACTGAGTTGTGTTAAAGCACTTGTAGGTAGGTGGATGGGCGGAAAGAGCAAAGGCTAAACAGACGTGTATCACTTACAGGTACATTCAGGTAGCTGCCCTTGGGATGATGCTTTTATTGGCTGTTCATGAGTCTTGGGCCCTCTCATGTGACTCTGGTTGTCACCCCATCCCTAAAGTTCAGTTTTTATTCCCCTCCAGGAGGAGTGAGTGTCCCAGGGTGGTTTTTCACAAGTTACGGTAGGCACCCACAGTGTTGTCAAAGAGTTTCGTGTTGGGGAAATAGCCAGTTTTGTCCAAGAGGAAGTAGAAGCGCCTGCCTTTGACCTTCAGAGGCAACATGGCAGGGACTTCACCCCGGTGGGCCATGCAGGACACTTGGTTCAAAGGAACAGTGAAATGGGCACCAAAGCCAAAGGGGGCATGAGTGGTGAGGGTCACCTGCTTCCCTCCAGCCCGTAGCATCACTGAACGCACAGAGCGGAGGGAGAAGAGAAGACCAGCACCAAGGACCAAGATACCTGCAGGAAAAGCAGATCGGGGTGAGGGGTTTTCACTGGACAGCTAAGCAGCAACCCTTCTAGTGCCCCCTGAATGAAAACAAATGATTGTGATGATAGTAACATTTATTGAGCTCCTCTTATACCCCAGAATCTCGTTACTCATTCCTCCCAACAACCTTAACAGATGTCCATCCCCGTTTTAAATCGAGAGAAAACAGGTCCAGAGCTGAAATAACTTGGTCAAGGTCGCAGTGAGAGGTCAACCTCTCACCCTAGCCCTGTCCGAGGACCCGGCGCTAGGGGGCTTCCATCTCCAGTGCTTCGCACTCCCGTGTGGGATGGCCTTCTCCCCTACCCCCCCACCCCAACACCGAGAGCCAGGAATCCCTTACTCTCCTTGCCTAAGCAGGGAGGGTCGTGCCCAGCCACCCCACGTACCCGTGGTGGGAGGCCAGCCCATGCCTTACCTATGGCGCCACAGCCGACCGCCAGGCCGTAGCGCCAGAGCACGGAGCGCACGTCCAGGCGGCCGCGGCCTGGGAGATCCGCGTCCGAGGCCCGCGCGGGGGCTGGGGGTCGGGTCAAGGCTGCCACGGCCAGGGAGGCCCAGAAGACGCCCTGGCCGGCGCAGAACAGACCGAGGACCGTGAAGAAGCGACCCCGTTCATGCTCGAACAGCAACACGTCTCGTGGCGGAGTCGCGTCGTGCAGGGCTCGGTGCGCCGGTAGGTCCCGCAGAGCGACAAGCAGCCTCGCGGGCCAGCGCCACCCAGACGCGGCCATGGCCCTCCGTGAGGTCGCTTCCGGGGCGGGACTTCCTGCCGGCCGGCCCCGCCTCTCCGAGTCTCCTCCGCAGTCTCTGCGGGCCGGCGTGGGGCGGGCAGCCTCCACCCCGCCTCCCCCACCGTAGGAGTGCGGTAAAAACAATCCAGTGCACAGGACACAAAATACAATATCACTCTTTATCTTAAAAAGTAGGGAGGAGTCTGGGGTTAAGTACACAAAGCACCTCAGTCCTTCAGGTAGTTTAGTGTCAGTTCTACAAAGTAACCTTTGGCTTCCTGGCACCAGTGAGGCTCAATTTTCTGAAAGTCTTCCAGAGTCTTCCAGAAGGCATTGAAGAGAGGGATCCAGCAGCCCTCTCTCCTCGGTCACAGTCACAGAGTGGCCTCGGGCCGGAGTGGAGGAGACAACAACCATGACAAGGAGACATCGATATCCAAGGACTATTTACAGGGGGCTTCTTCCGGGGCAGGACTTGGGATCACTTCATGAACGCCACTTCTGGGATTTCGCCCTTGGCCTTAGAGAAAAAAGAAAGGTCAGTAGAGCCAGGCAGCTCATCCCCCCCGATGCCCTCCCCACCCCCAGATTACCTGACCCTCTTGAAGGCCCAGAGAGCCCTGTCTTTTTGCCATCGTATTCCCAAACTTTACCTTGAGATGAGTAAAGGCCTGGGCAGATCTGGTGTAGTCCCAGTTGTTGTCCTGAAGGCACCTGGAGTCAGGGGAGAACAGGCACCTCCATTAGAACCAAAATGCAGCCACCCAGATCACTAAATGCCAGTTCGGAATCCATTCTACAGAAACATTTGCCTAAGTTTGCCAACAATTACATACATTCTTGCACAATTTATACAAATGAAAAAGTAGCAAAAATCCAAATGTCTATCAATGGTCTACTGAGTACAAAGTATTTAATAGCTATCAAGAAGACTAAAGTAATTTTTATAGTGACAGGAGATGTTCACGGGATAAGTAAAAAAAAATAAGTTGCAGAACAGTATATAAAAAGGAACTTCATTTTGGCTTTAAACTTTGTGCTAATTTACGGATAGGGCACATTTTTTTATAGACCGTAATTTTTAAGCAATAAAAAGTTTTGGCTTTTAAAATTTCAGGAGCACTTATTATTCGCTACCTCGGTTTACCCCTATTCCTACACATGCCCAGGACTCACTTCTGGGACCACTCAAGGTTCATGCCAGACTGGGTAGAGAACGCCTGCAGCATTTCCTGCTGCTCTGGGGAGAGGGTGGGCACGGGGCTGGAGGAAGGCGTGGGCGCAGGCATGGCGAAAGCTCTTTGGATCTCGTCAGGGCTGGCATTCCGCACAAACAGCTCGTCGTTTACGATGCACAGCCTTGGGGACAAAAAGCACCTTAGCTACACAGATAACCTCATCCTCCCCAAATCATTCCTATTCTCACTGACACCTGACACTCAGATTCTTTCAATACCTACGAGAGCCCCTGCCACTCTTAGCTATTACCTTGTATCATTTTATTGATATGGCCTTTCCCATATCAAACACACTAGAATTATACATTCTGCCCCAAAACATGGACAGTTCTTATCTTTACAACAGACTCAGGAAGTGAACAGTTACACCACTTTCCAGATGAGGGAACCGGCCCTTAGCCAGAAGTGCTGGAGCCAGGCTGAGAAACCCAGCCAGCTCCACTCCAGAGCCAAGCTCTTCGCTACGGGAGCTCCCTCTCTCCTCTGGTTCCCTGTTACCTTCCTGAAATTCTGAAAATACCTTGAGGACTGACTCCGCCCCTGCCTTCAATTCCCACATGGCCACGGACTGGGACCGGGACCCCACGCAGTAAGCCAAACTCTCACCCTGAATTGCTGGCCGGAACAGCGACGAAGGTCCGCGTGAAGGCTCGCAAAGAATCCCGAGACTTTCCATCCACTGCAAAAACAATGGCAATGACCCCTGAGTCGCTCACGCTTTATGTTTACAAACCGCTTCTCAAATTGTGGTCTTATTTGATACAAAGAACCCCAAGTGGGCCAGACAGGGATGACTATGTGTGTGCAGAGGAGCAGAGGTGGGGAGGAGTGTCAGAGGTCAGAAAAAAACAATAACAACACTGTTATCCCACGGATAGAGTATTCATGTGCCAGGCCTTGTGTCAGCGCTTTTTAAGTCACTCCATTTACTCTCCAGAGATGGCTATTACTAACCCCCCTTTACAAGTAAAGAATCTGAGGCTCGGGAGTAATGACACATCGGACCAAGGTTGGGATGGATGCTCAGACCTGTCTGTCTCCGAAGTCTGTGTCCTAATCACGGGCTTTCCCACAGCCCAGACAGGAAAGGCAGGCGGAGAGGGGAGGCCAAATGAAGGTGACTTGGGGAAGAACAGGAGCAAGAAGTCAGGGAAGAAGAGGGGAGAGAAGGCAGCAGGGCAGCTGAGAAAGGCCCTAGCTGGGGGAAGAACCATCCTCAGACAGGACTGCTAAGGTTCTCACCTTCCTTGAAGACTCCATTCACAGAAAAACACAGCAGCGTGTTCTGAAAGAGAAGCAGCAGCAGTTGCCACGCAGGCCCCAGGCCCAGCCGGAGCCTGGCCTCTCAACCGCCCCTTCCCTGTTCCGACTGTCAGGGAGGAAGTCCGTGCTTACTGTTTGGGCGCTTATGTCCACCACGAAGGAATTGACATCGTGCTGAGTTTTGGGCAACTCGTTGAGGAAGGCGACGACGTTGAGCCGTGTGTGCTTCAGCAGCCGGAACCGCATGGCTGGGGGCAGGGGAGCAGCCGAGGTTAGGGGCTGCCACACGCTCCTGGGCCCCTGACAGTTTCCTTCCCATTCCCTTCTCCCATCCTGTTTTGTTCACGTCACACACTTACTAGGGTCTTTAAGCTTCTTCACATCCCTGCTATCCTTGAAGTACTCGCCCAAATTGCTTCTGGGGAATAAAAGCAAAGGGAGGCAGTGGTCAGAGCACTGTGGAGCGCGGACACTAGCAGATGCTGGCCTGGGCATGCCGAGAAACTCTGGTCCTGGGCAGGTCCTGGGATGTGATACTCACCGGGCAGGGTTCTGCGGGGTGAAAGGGATGCTCAGGGAGCAGCAGGCCCCATCATGGTAGGCATCCAGGAGCCGCTGCCGGTTTCCAGAGTCATAAATTGCATAGTACCTGCGGGGAAAAACAAAAGGGAAGGTCTGTGCTCCACAGTCTGCATCCAGAAGGGGACCTGATAGTCCTCAAGAGTGAGCGTGCTGGGGCCAGCCCACCCCTGCCCGACCTCCAGGGCCCTGGGATACTTACTGCTGCAAGAAGTGCAGGACCAGATTCTTCAGGGTCTCTGTCCCAAAATAGCTTCCCTGGAATCAAACAGCTGTTAGGACCAGGCACTGATCTCTCCTCCCAACACAAGTTCTAGCTCTGCCCACTCTCTCACCTTGCACGGTGGTAACATCGTCGGTGCTTCAACATCGAAGGCAATTGGCGGGGGTAACTCGTGGCCATCCTGCCGAAAGGAAGTGAAAGGTGGCGGTGTAAACCCGAGAAAAAAGACGGGGTGAGGAATAAGATGGAAAAACTAACAGAAAGAGGTCAGAAGTCAAGTGGAAAAGAGACAAGAAAGGGTCCTGGAATCCTGATAGCAGGTATTTTTCTGGGAAGGATAGCTTTTGTTGGATTCGCAAAGGGCTCCATGTCCCCAAGTTAATGGTCCTACAAAGGTACGTTAGGCAAGACCTTGGTGGTGAGAGATGCTACGACTGTTAGAAGAGAACGAAAAAAGTTTCGGACTTACCAGGCGTAGTAATTTGGGAAATCGTTCGCGAATAGTGCTGTCAAGAACGGGACAGAAGTGAGTGATGCTTCAGAGCCACCATGCCTCCTGGACTGCTCTAGGAGCAAATATACCAACACCCGAGGGACAGCCCATCCCATCTTGCTCATCCTCTCACTCCTCCCAAGCCTCTGAGCTCCAAGAAAAACGGCCCCACTCCCCACCTTACCTGGGGCACCCGGAAATGGCTGCCTTGAAGGCTGACTCTTCTCTCTGCCTGATCCCGACGGCTGCAGGAGCAGCACACCCAGGCTTTAAGCCCGGGGCCTCCTCCCCCTCACTGCCCCCCTTACCTTCTACCTACTCACCTGTGCAGCCCCGGGAGGAGGGAATGGGGTGGGAGCCCAGGGGCTCCGCTGCCTCAACAGGTATCCATCAGTTCTGCCAGGTCTGGCCGTGGCCAAGACCAAAACACACCACAGGGATGGCACGGGATGTTGGGGCAGGGAGATGAGCAAGACAGGGATCAGGAGGAGGGGAGGCAAAGGAGGAAGCAAAGAAAGAAAAAAGGAACAAAGAAAGAGAAAAGGTAGGACGGGGCAGGGACAAGGGAGAGATGGGAGAGAGAGAGGGGAGTGGAGAGAAGGAGGAAAGAAAGAGCGAAAGAACTACAAGGCAAGGAAGCGTTCTGAAAAACGGGAGCGGAGCGGGGCAGGCACCTGACACAGCCCTTTCCTTCAGCCGCCCTTCCCTGCGGTCCAAGGCAGAAATGGCAAACAAGTCGTTGCTGCAGCGAGAGGGCAGCTGCGGTCGGCCAGGTCTCTGTCTGCTACCTGGGTCCCGGTCTGAGCTGGGCGTGGGAAGCAAAGCAGCCATGGGGGCGGGAGACCTCCCTCAGAAGGGGTGAGGGTTCAGGCCCCTGCAAAGTTGGGGGGGTGAGGGTCTATGCCCCACCTCTGTTGGCCCCCAAGTTCTCTCCTGATGGCCCCTCTGCGACTGTGCCTGTCTTAGGTTGTTCCTTCCCTGAGGAATCTTACCCGTCTCTGGCTAACCAGCCATCCTCCGGGGCCAAGCAGGGTGATGTGAGGTGTGCAAGTGAGGGAGGGGCAGCGCCCCCGTGAGGGTCAGTTGTGTCTCCTTGGTAGCCTATGCCCCCGTGGCCTCCACGCCCAGCACCTGCCTTGGGATTCCCTCGCCCGCTGGCGGGGCCCCGGCTCTGGTCACATTTCTTGGGGAACCCAGGTTTCTTCTCCAGGGAGGGCCCAGCTCAGCACTGGGCAAGAGAGACAGACTGCATGGCACCAGCCACGAGGAGGCCTCAACCTCAGCGTGGGCAGGAAAGCCCAGGCAACATCTGTAGGCAAGTGGATCGTGAGAAGAGGGTC